TATATACCTGTTGTTAAGGAAAGATTGTAGATGTGAGTAAGGGGCTTAACTATCTGCGCCCCACATAACTTGATAATTTTATTAGACAACCCATCGTATCCACTAGAGGTCTTATTCTTTAATGAAAAAATTGTGCTTAAGACTTCCGCTGGAGTAATGGGAACATTAACTATATCTGGATAGCTGCCAAAAAGGCTACATCTAATTGTGGGATGTGCACCTTCATTGTTAGGAAACTGACTAATTATCTGATCTATTGAGTCTATGAAGAATGTGTTAAAAGACTCAGCTGCTGTATTTATGTGGATTGTTTTCTTATCACATCTTAATTCTGTGGGAATAAACTTCTTTTTGGAAGCATGACCCACTTCGTTGTTAATAATTTTCCATGACACCTTGGATTTGTTAGTGGATTCGGTTAACAAATCATTATAATACATTTCTTTTGCTTTATAGATGACCTTTCTTAATATGGAACAATATCGAGTATAATACTCTTTTAATTTAGGACAACTAGTTACTCTACTCATCATGTAAAGATATTTTTTACGCCTACAGGACACTCTAATTCCATTAGTAATCCACTGATTATTATACACAGTATTTACCACAGATTGCATAGGAAAACATGATTCAAAATTAACTAAAAAGGTACTCAAAAATTTATTAAAACTAGCATTAACATCTGTGTTATCCAGGGTACCGTCCCATTCCTCATTGTGTAACATGTCAATAAATTTTAAGACTCTAGACTTGGTTATTAGTCTTTTCCTAACAAGCCTACTGTTCTTTACTTGAGATTCAAAAACATTATTTATCATCAAGTATTGTGCATCATGGTCTGAGAGCCCATTCATTACCGAATAGACTTGAACAGTGTTTAACCTATTATAATCCAAAAATATATTGTCTATAGCAGTGCTAGATTCTTTGGTTATCCTTGTAGGGAAGTCGACAACGCGACATAAATTATATGTATACAAAAGTGAGATTATCTGGTGAACATTGTTTGAATTACTTAAAAAGTTTACATTAAAATCACCACACAATATAATTTCTAACTTAGGCTTATATAAAAATTTTAAAATTATTTCTAGTTGATTGACAAATACTTGGATGTTACCACTAGGAGATTTATAAATACATAAAAATATAAAAATATTGTTACCAATTTTCGTCTGAATTGCACAAGCCTCTATGACCTTTCAATACAATATTTGGAAATATCCACTACATTACAGCTCAGATCGGATTTACAGTAGATGCACGCTCCACCTCCAATATTATATTGAGGTGAAAAGTTGGAGGCCAAATAATAATTTTCAGGTTTTATTGTTAATAATTTCTGCTCTACCAAATAATGTTCTGTGATACAAATAATGTGTGGACTTAAGTCATGGCTATACAGCATACAGGTCAGTTCAACAATTTTATGCTGGAGCCCTCTTCTTATATTTTGATGGAATACATTTAATGTTTTAAGCTTAGGCTGAGATTTATTCAGTCCCCAGAAATTCTGATGGAATATCTTGAAAGAGTTAACTGCAGGAACATGTTCTACAGCCTCACAACCTATCTGGGATTGAGTATTTATATGTGGGGTAACAGTGGATGAGTTGGGGGGAGTGATCTGAAGTTTATCGGGTACCTTGTGAATATCATTTACCATAAAAAATCATTGTTCCTGGTCACTGGAACTTTCTTATGGAGCCACAGCCACTTCAGCTCCTAAGGCAGTCAAGACTGAACCAAATTTCTTATGTCTGAATATCAGCCTGCTAACCAGCTATCCTGAGACCTTTATCACGTCCCTCAATCTTTCAGCCAAATTCACATTCACAATCATAATCCCAAAAATGGTACATGTCATACAAAGTTTAAAAAGCACTGTTAATACAATGAATGCTGCTTACCTGACTAGAATATTTCTGACCTGTTCCTCTCATCCATTTGAAAAAGAAAAAATAACCTTCAACCTCACCCCCAACCAAAGTGGAGCTCCTCATTATACAAGATCTACCCAATGGATTGGGTGTTTTAGAATACACTGCTGTACAAGGGGAAGTGGAATTGGGGCAGGTGTGTCTGTATGATACCACTCATAAGCATATGCAGTAATCATTGCAAACTAGCCTGTGAATTGTTGTAAGTCCATGGTTGAAACTTTGTGTCAAATACTATCTATTGCCCATACAGAAAGAGCTTTCAGGCTAAAATTTCTACTGTCCATACAGAGAGAGCTTTCAGGCTAGAATTTGATGTGCTAAGGGATAGAAGAATTACAAATTGGAAAAATTTTGTGTTCATTCTTGTGGAACTTAAAGATTAGTTAGTTCACACACCAGAGAATATTTAAAATGTAACGTACAATCCAGCGCAATTGTGCCACATTCAGTGGCTTTAGAAATCTAAAACATGACTGTTCAACGAATTTTACATAAGGATTCAAATAGCTATCATTACAAAATTCAGGTTACTCACCACCCGAAGAATTAGGATAAAATGGCACATCCCAGTCTCTGATTTTTTAATTTTTGGAAAATGATGCAGATGTGCTGATGCAATTAATAGTATCTGATAAGGGCCATTTTTATCATAATGGATACATCATTTAACAGAATTTTCAGTACTGAGCTGAAGAGCATCCTATGCAGCCACATAAATTGGAACTGGAATTTATCCCTGCTTCAGCACTTCAAATTCTATCCTAAATGTTCTTTCTGTTTTCATAACAGACTGTGTTCAAAAAACTGTATCAACACCAAACACATTTATTCATATACTGTGGGATGTCATATGGAGAGACAACCCACATTGGTGACCCCGACGTGATTGGAAGCGCGCGTGGTGAAGATAATCAATGACTCCCACACTGGTGACTTTGACGTGATAATACGTGGGATGTTCCCACATCACTCCCCCCCTTGCAAGAAGTGATGCTGCTGCTTGCAAGTTGTCCGCGGTGCGAGCGCGGTTGTAGGAGTGATGAGGCGGTAGCTACGCCGACGTGATTGGAAGCGCGTGTGGTGAAGATCATCAACGACTCCCACATTGGTGACTTTGACGTGATAATACGTGGGATGTTCCCACAATACCATTCCAGTGGTGGTGGATCCAGTATAGTTCAATTTCTCCAGCCTTCTCCTACTTCATCCTTGTTATGTAAACATACTCTCATCAGTATTTTATATTGAAACACCCTTAATCTATGTTCTTCCCTTACATTGCATGACCAACTTACATGACCATACAAAACAACAGACAAGATTATAGCTTTACATACTTTAATCTTACATGTGTTGTTCACTGAATCTGCTATTTTCTGATAGAATGCATAGCAAAGAGGGCACAACACACAACTTCACTATATAAGGTGTTACTTCTGAGTAACACTAGCTAGAAGTTTGAAATGTATGGCAAATAGCTTGGCAGAGTCCATCACACCACCACCTAGCAGAGGAGTTTGTCCAGTCTGTAATAGTATCACACAGTGGGTAGTCTGCTGGAAACAGATTACACCAGGAAGAGAAACTTTCCTTTCCCTAAATTTTATACATGAGTATATGCATGCGCCACACAAGCAAAATTGCATGCACACATATGCAGACACATGCATGTAGCCGCGTGCGCGCACACACACACACACACACACACACACACACACATGACTATTCTCACCCTGATCTGTGCAGTTGCTGGGACAACAAGCTGTTCTCTTGTACCATCAGGATAACGAAGAAGGAAACACATCTCCACAACTGAAAAAATAATTATATTAGTGTATATAGATTTCACACATAATTATTATAATATGCTCAATATTACATTGAATCTTCATATATTCCGTATTTCCAAATAACCAGTGTCACATACGAGATATACTCTTTGTTCATTTACTTTATGATAGTCACCTAACACATGACAATAATCTACCAGATACTGAACTTATGTATTACGAAATGATGTGGTAGGTTCATAAATGAAGTGGGATACAAGAGTAAACAGCCATGGCCTACTTAAGCAGAAGTATTGTGGCATATGCCTTGGAAGATTGAGGAAATTGACGAACAACATCAGGCTTGGTGTTTTACCTGGCCAGGATTCATACTGCGGATTTCCAAACAACAGTGATGCATGATATTACTATGTTAAGGGCCAGTCACCAAAGATTTCTTATGTGCAAAAAACTGCCTTGCATTGCCTTATTTGATAGTATTACAACAAAATTGTTTTTCTGACTGTTGTATAATCTTCACTTACAAAATATTTATATTTATTGACATTGCAGTAGTAACTTCCTGTCCTACTATCACCAGTAGATATTTCCATGTAGCAAACTAAAATAGTAACAACCCAAAAACAAAGTACAGAAATGCAAACTTGAAGTCTAGCTGCCATGCAAATACTAGTATTCCTCACATCTGGTTCTTAAAAGGAAGCTGGTAGATTTTTAAAATGAGGTTACTCACAAGTTCTATATAATTTACACTTTATGTGGCTATATGGGTAGGATATGCTATTTAATTAACAGAAGGGTTCTTCATATACATGATCTGTCAGGAACTACGAGTAGTTATAGTTGTATTAAAAAATGAAACATGAGAAAAATTTTCACCCTATTATTTCATATGTAATATTTACCATCACCAGCCCCAAGGTATAATTTCCAACTTTCTTTGTCACTAGTTTCATCTTCATCAGAACTTGAAGAGTCAATTTTCTTTTTTGTGGACTTTTCATTACTTGCAGAATCAATTCCATTAAAAACTTTTTCTGCTAATGATGCTTTAATTGCTGCTGCAATTTGATCATCTTCATTCGCATCCAACATGGATTTCTAAAATACAGAGAAATGTACACCACATTAAACTTTTGTAAGGGCTATGACATTTATACAATCAACATATATTCCATTCTTTAAACGACAAGATTAAAACAAGAATGTGAATTTCTTTGTTAGTTATGCCACATAATATTATATGACAATCTAAATTTGCTGCCTGTATATCTTAACTGTCTTTCTGCTAAAGATAAAACAGACATATAAATTTACTAACCTAATGTTACAAAGATAACAGCTGGATATCCACAAATCATTAAATGTCACTGCAACAGCTAATGCCAGATGCTGCGGAATGTAACACAAACAAATGTCATTTTGATGTCTGACAGGACACAAGCAGTGTGTCAACCTTGAGGTTCTGTACAACATGAACCACTAAACCTATATCACACATTAGGTGAAGTCTATTTCATATTCTGCACAGTTCCTTTCGACATGGTGCTTTGCCACAGTTGCACCTGTATTTCTATTACTTAACACTTTCAGGCCTAACTGAAAATTAAATCAAACTATCCCTTGAGCCAATTCTTCCTTTCCCAGAGAGCTTCTGGAAAAATACTGAAATAACAATTTGTGCAAGATTTTTCTTACATGTTATCCTAAATATTCTATATCAATATCTGATCGCTGAAAGAATCATCTACTGACTCCAGGAAACTATAAGAACCTAACTGAACGCATTTAACAGAGTAAGCAGCATCATAAGTTTCTGACCATGGGCCTGAATGTGTTGAAATCATTCAATTGCAAGGGAAAGAGCAACACACTTACAGAATCGGAAGCAGGCACATTGTTTTCTGCTGGCGTGTGGGTAGCTGGCACAGGTGTAAATGATGTGGCATGAGTATTCTCAGATATGGCAGTGTTTTTCAATGGCAGTATTGCACTAGTGGATGGTGAAGATATCTACCAACAAAAATTGAATTTACATCTTACAAGTCATAAATTATCTAAAGTACAATAATGTCCAATCCATGGATAGTTAAAGAGTAAGAAAGCAGGCACATGAAATCAAAGATCCAGAAACATGGAAATTCTGTAAACTAAATAATGCAAAGATGAAGGCAGAGAAGAAAAGTACAATTCTGATTTTGCTTATCTCCTAACAGCATTCACAGTGTTGGCATTTTCCATCAATACTGCCATACACAGATATCCCAATTCAAAGGCCATCAAGTTCCAGCACTGTCAAAACTCTTGACTGCAAATGTTTAAAGTGGAAGACTCTGTGGGTCTTAGAATACAGTTTTCACTCAGAGGGTTATGGAGGACATTATTATCTAGGTGTGAACCTTTATGAATATAGATTAAAGCTGTAACCTCTACAAAATCTTAACACTTCTGTAATGTTTCGATTCCCATTTAAAGTTGGATGGCTCGTATTCATAAGGCCCTTCTGTATGTTGTACAAACAAAAAACAGAATGAAACTCCACTAAATTGTATAAATGCTGGAAGTTTACTTGATTATTATTCAGGGCAGTAGCCTGTGATACCAATAACTGGTGCTGGCAAGTTACGGAGAGACTGGCAGTGAGTAAACAAACAACACACAGATTTCATATGGAGAGGTTTAATCTCAAGAAATTGAACAAATTAGAGGGTAAAGAGCAGTATCATGTTGAAATCTAAAATAGGTTCACAGCTTTGGAAAACTTACACAATGAGGTGGATATTAATAGAGCTTGGCAAAGTATTAGAGAGAATATCAAAATTTCTGCCAAAGAAAGTGTAGGTTATTACGAATTCAAGAAGCATAAGCCACAGTTTGATGATGGGTGGTCAAAATTATTAGATAAAAGGAAACAAACTGAATTACATTGGTTACAGGATCCAAGTGAAATAAATGGGAATAATCTGAATAATATAAGATGTGAAACCAGCAGGCATTTCAGGAATAAAAAGAGGGAATATCTGAAAGACAAAATTAATGAGCTTGCAACAAACAGTAAGAACAACATCAGAATACTGTATAGGGGAATAAATATATTTAGAAGAAACTTAGTGAAATATGAGAATGGTGATCTGCTTGCAGATTCCCACACTATTTTGAATAGGTGGAAGAAGTACTTCTGTCAGTTATTGAACGTACACAGTGTCTGTGATTTTATGCAGACAGAAGTACATACAGCTGAACCATCAGTACCTGATCCTAGTACTTTTGAGGTTGAAACTGCTATTCCAATGTTGAAATGGTATAAATCACCAGGTAGTAATCAAATTCTGGCAGAAGTGATTCAAGCAGAAGGTGAAGCATTATGGTCTGAGATTTATAAACTAAATAATTCTATTTGGAGTAAGGAAGAACTGCCTAATCAGTTGAAGGAGTCTATTATTGTTATTATTGTAANAATGGTGATCTGCTTGCAGATTCCCACACTATTTTGAATAGGTGGAAGAAGTACTTCTGTCAGTTATTGAACGTACACAGTGTCTGTGATTTTATGCAGACAGAAGTACATACAGCTGAACCATCAGTACCTGATCCTAGTACTTTTGAGGTTGAAACTGCTATTCCAATGTTGAAATGGTATAAATCACCAGGTAGTAATCAAATTCTGGCAGAAGTGATTCAAGCAGAAGGTGAAGCATTATGGTCTGAGATTTATAAACTAAATAATTCTATTTGGAGTAAGGAAGAACTGCCTAATCAGTTGAAGGAGTCTATTATTGTACCAATTCACATAAAGGGCAAGAAAACTAATGTGGTAATTATCATGGGATATTGCTAATAACTTCATACAAAGTTTAAAGGCAGTGATGAGAAATAGAGCATTGAGTTAATGCTCTCCAGACTGAGGAGCTGAAAGATTCAACTTAAACTATGCATCATTATATCTATTATCACAAGTCCCAATAACATATCTACTATGGCATAAAGATTCAAATTTTCTTTGAATTCTTTCAAGTTTGAAAGAAGCAGTCAATGTAACAGAATTCCAGGCACATGAAATGTACTGAAGTTGAGATCATGCTGAAGAATTATACAAGATCACAACAAATATGACCTTACAAAGATATCCCCATATGTCCTTAGAGGGTTCTGACCCTTTTACAGCGAACTCAAACAATAGCCTACAGTTCAGAAAGGCACTGATGAAGTGGCATAGTCTGTGACATTGTAAACATCATGTAAAATTATGTTGCAATGATAAAGTAAGAGTCCAAAGTTAAGAGTATAGTCTGGAGACAGTCCAACATCTCAGAGATACATATCACCTCCATTGTCAGGGTAAAAAGACTAAGACAATCAAGAAACCAGCAGAAGCATGTAGGAAGCTAAGCCACCTGTTTCTGTTAAGTTTCTTGCTTGGTTTACTCTGAATATTGAAGCAATATTTTCTTCTCACACAATGTGGTGTGAATTAAATGGCATTAAAACCCAACAGACCATATTCTTCATAGGAACAGCCATGAATACCTCAATTCTGAAAAATTTGAATGTTTGTACACTGTATTTTTGTACCTTTTATTTAGATAAAAAGGTACAGTTGTCCTTGTGCTTAACTAATTGAGCACTGTGACATGAAGGCGTATGGGGGGGGGTGGGGGTGGATGTATAGATCCACATTTTCCTGACGTCAACACTAGGTGGTTGTGAGTGGTCAGCTTCACAACCCGGCCGCTTCAGCTCCAGGGAAAGAGCTCCCAGTACCCATTGGATAGGATGTTGGGTAGACACCAGAGCCAGTCTGGATGACATGGAGAAGAGAAAATTTCTTGACCCTACCAGGACTCAAACTCCAACCCCTCAGTCATCCAGCCTGTAGCCAGTCACTATACCGACTATGCTATTATTTAGATATACATATATTAATTTATTGTTGCTTTTCTTTTATTATAGCCATGACATATACCATGCTGCTGAAAGTAGGTAAGTCTCCAAATTAATATCTCCATAAATCGTGAATTTCATTTTGTTGAACCTGTATTTCCTGGCATAATGATAGTTTTAGGGAGTAGTCTGATGTGTGATGTCAATATTTTGAACTGTTATAAATATCACACTGCCTGTCCTTCCTTCTCCTGAAAACGTTAGTAAACCTAACTGATCCCATCTGAAATAACCAACCTAATCTGAATATCAGCTAACCATGAACAGTTGCACGTGAATTAAATATTATAAGAGAAGAGCTCAACACCATTTCCAGCATTCAGTCTATGTGAAATAATGCACGTGTAGAACTGCAGAATATCACTTCCCTTTCCCATACAAGGTGCATTTTCTTCTCTTAAAAGTAATTTGAGAAGCATGCCTCGCAAGTGTACACTGTATATGTTACAATCTTGCCAAATATAATAAATACTGTATTTAACAAAATATATGGAATATTAATTTTTGGCTATAGAATGTAATGCATATTGACAGCTTTGCAACAATTGGGTTTTATTTGAAATGAATGAACACTAAAGCCAACTAGATATTCAAAATAGCATAGAATGCAGTTTGAAAATATGTGTACTCTACTGTACAACATCTTTCTGCTCTTTACACTCTTAACAAATACATAAAAATTAATTTTAAGGGAACAATGAAGATTTGAAATATCCCAATTCCTTACCGGACCAGAAATAGTTGGCTTGTTTACAAGAGCCAATGGAATGACACAACCTGATGGTGTTAAATCACTTGCAGTTTCTGCAGCACAGGGAACAGAAGACCCTGAAGGAGACGAAATTTCAAGTACATTAACATGCCTAGGTGATGTATGAACTACACCATTTGGAGCATCCTGAAAAGAAGAATGTAGAGCTGGATGCAGATTTTCATTTAAAAAATCCCTCTAAATTAAGGTACATTAATTGAGTACCAGAGAATAATTATATATCTGCTTTCAGTGAATTTCTATGGAAAAGTCAAAGAGTTGTTGTGTCAGTACTGTTCCACCGGCAATCATAGGCAGTAATGTTTTCACAAACAATATGATTATCACAAGTTCATACACTTGTTTTGTTCATGAAAGAACACCTAATATTTCCAGAAAGAAACACATTTGCTGATAATCTAGAATTGTAACATCAAATTATGCACTCTTTTAAAAGTAAAGGTAAAATCTCAACCAATAATAAAACACACCTCTGCAGTCAATGGAGAGTTTGAGAGTTTTGCTCTCTTTTGGGGGATCTGCATTGACTGTTGCTGACAAAGAAATTCCAGTAAAGTATCACAAAATGAAGACCCATTTATTTCATTCCACACTCTTAGACTCTCCCCTGTACGTGGATCTATGACCGCTACATACGGCCAATCCGACACACCATAGAAGGCAGCATACCGTTGACCTTCTGCACTGTCCAAATATACCTGAAATTAAACTCTTCTGCATAAGCCTCACCAAATGTGATTCACTTGCCATAAGAAACAACATGTAAATACATACTCTCTACTCTTGTACTTGGTTAAAAATTGTTTCTCTTTTTAGCATAATTTGATACAGGTCCTTCCATATAATTGACACCACCATTCCATATACTGATTCATTAGAACTGTTGAACTATGGTCAACTAAAGATTAACCTATAAAGACCAAACTACCATAACACTTCAGTGAATTTATTGTAAAAAGTACACCAAAATACCATAAATATGGGACCCTTTTCACTTGTCCATTTTCACAAAAAATCTCAGTTTATAAATATGAGTATAACATAAGGAACATCAAAAGAAAATGTGGCAAAAGAAAACTGGTTTCAGATAGTTCTATACAAAAGAATTACTGAGTTAATAATAAGTCATTTGAATACGGTCATAAAAATCATGGTGCTCAAACTATACTGGCAGTATTTGGGTTGATCAAACAAATACAGATTTTGAGGTATGGGAGCTACCAATAGAATAAATAAAATTTTTATAAAATTGGTTAGGATCAATAAAAAGCCAGTAATTTAATCAGTTTTATTGTCTCATTCATCCATTACATGTTTAGGTTATGTGGATCATCATCAGGCAGTCTGTAAATAAATAAATATATAAATATAAAAGGTATTGCAAAGTTGTCCCTGCTCTTGTCTAATTAAGCAGTACACCATGAAGGCACATGGGTGAGTGGATGTATAGATTCACATTTTCTTGACCTCAGCACTAGGTGGAAGTCAGTGGTCAGCTTCATGTCCCTACCGCTTTACCCCTAGGGAAAGAGCCATTGGTACTCATTGGATAGGAGGCTGGGTGGGCCCCAGAGCCGGTCTCAATGTGGAAAAGAGAACATTTTTTACGCTACCGGGACTCAAACTCCAACCCCTTGGTCATCCAGCCCATGGCCAGTCACTATACCACCTATATATATATATATATATATATATATATACACACACACACAATACATTATTATTGAACTGCAGAATGATATGGATCCAGTTTTACAATGAAAAATGTTATAATAACTTCTTGTATAATGTAATGGTAATACAATAATATAATACAAGAATTTATCACGATGTTTCTCATTGTAAAAATGGAGGAAGATTAAGAAAAAGAAAGAGGATAGAAATTTGTTGCCATTTTACATGACAAAGAGGAACATAAATTCAAACTGACAGTCCTAGGTTTCTCTTATATCCTTTTGCAATTAATGAGGAGGCTGGAAAATATATGTCCAAATCAATTTTCTGTCACAGCATTGGTTGTTCTGAATCTTCTGCAAAAGATCTCAATTGGTGAAAAAGTTGTCAAAATACATAACCCGGGCTTCAGGATTCAAAACGCACTTGAATATCTTTGACACAATTCCAGACACCAAACAAAATATTATTTTCCTACTAGAGGCATGTGAACTGCCTTTTCAATAGTACAAATCAAATGTGAAACAGTAACCACTTGAGGTGTATACTGCCAAAATTTATATCCCTAATAAACTTAACTTGAATAAACTGCTTTAGGTATTGTAACTGGAATATCTTACATTCATCTTGACAATAAGATCATTAAGTCAGACTCATGACAACTATTAACTGTTAGTTGATGTCATTAAAGGCCAGTATTCTATATACAGGCATAGCCAAACTTATGGCTGCTGCTGAAAGGTGGACAAATATAAAAATAAACCAGAGAAATTTAAATGTTTTGGTTCAGATTCAGGGATCAGCTCTATCGATTGGGACCAAATGAGTAGGGTTTACCTGAAGATGGAGACAGAATCCAATCTCCAAAATTCTGTGACTTAAATTAAAAGAGGATGATGGATAATGTCCAGAAAAATAATATTTGCAATTTCTGATTTTCTTTGATAGTTACGACAGCAGTTAACAGCAGTCACCAGATACTTATCACACAGCATCCTTACACTGTCAGACAATTACCAAATAGAAATCAATTTTTAATTATGTTAGTACCTGCTCAAAGATACCTATATCATTCTCTACACACAGCGTTGCAGGTTTCCAAACAAAATTTTTGTATTTCAAATACTTATGGCATACTCCATTATGTAAGTAGCTGGATAATGTTCCTCCTGTGCCACCACAAGAAGACATCAAGGAGCGAGAGATTTGGTGACTTCAGAGGACAGGCCTGTGAAATGCTATGACCACTTCAGCAATACAGGAACTAATTCAGATAGTCAATGTGACATGGTGCACCATCATGATGAAATCACATCCCTAAATTCCATGCTGCTGAGCCTATAATGTTACAGGTACCTTCAATATGCATTCTTGCCATGCCCATATCAATAGAGATACAACCTTACAGTATAGATACGAAATCATCTCCTAACTTTCTGAATGAATTCAAACTTTCCGGGATCATACTTCCATCTTACACTAATGTTAACACCAAGTCAGACACCTCTGCTGCTTTGCATGCCATCTATAGGAGAATTCAGGAACTACTACATGCAGATAGGGAACACATCTAACACCACAGGGGCAGTAAAAATCCCAAACCATCTTCATAATATAAGGAAAAAAAAATCAGTACATATTAATTAAAAGACTTCTTGAGTCCCATATTTGAGAGAGTTTTAAAAAATAAGTCATTACAGATGATATGGCTGGACACTAAGTGCTTTGCAGTGGATGGGTTAATTTTGTTTGCAGATAAATACCTTCTATCAGATGTGGCACTTGCATCTTGATAAACTGAGATTATAAGCTGTCATCATGTGAACCCCAATGACAAATGGTCCCATCAAGTAATATCCATTGACAGTGAACCAAACATTCATTAAAAACGAATCCTATTGTTTGGTTTCCATGGTACAATGAAGAATGTGGTAGGATCACAAGTGAAAACCGTGACAACTGGCAATTTTTTTATTAAACTGTTTTTCAGTAAATAATGTAATGTGATTATAAAGCTGGTGATGTCCAATAATCCACCAACAAAACGAGAACAAACAAGTCTTGAGGTTGAGTAGTTTGAATACACTGATTGTGTTATTGGTAAAAATCTTATGTGATGCACAGTTCACCATAGGTGTATTGGCTTGGTACGAATTTCTCTGGAATTCTTCGACTGTGTCCTACTTTGAGTAATATGTTTCCTTGCTCACAAACATCTTGTTAAATATTCTGGTTCAGAAGCTGCCAAAATTCCTAAACTACTGTTTTGATACTTCCTTTGCAAACTCCATAAATAAAATAAACATCCATGAATTCTTCATTTGTGGATGCTGTGATCAAAGTTAACCATAAAGGGGCCTGATACAACACTTTTACAGACAAATAAACATAGCTATGTGAACGCTATGGGAATCCAATTACCAATCCAAATCCTGTCTATTGTCACAACAACATGTGACAGCTACTACAGTAAGACACTAACAGGCAGAGAGGAACTATTGCACCATCCAGTGGGAACCATTGGCCATCATAAGACCACAAGAACATTTCCAAGGGTACCTCTAAGGACAAGAGTTCCACTTGAGCCCCAACCACTCTGTGCTAATCTGTCTCATAAATTTTAAGAACCTCAAAGAGCAAACAGTAAACTGGATTCAGTGCCTGCAAGAATACAACTTTACTTTCATGCACCGCCAAGGCCAGAAGCACAATGATGCTGATGGTCTTTTCAACAGCCATACTGAGAAGAGTGCAAACACTGTCAAAAAGTTTAGGTGTGGGCAAAGTCAAGCAGGTGCAAGTTATTGAGGCCAAAGCAGGAGACAGATGGGACCCAACCACCATATGTAGAGATCAGCTAAAATACTATAACATAGGACCTATTCTAAAAGAAATAGAGGCTGCACAATGCCCAGACTGGAAAGATATCGCTGACCGCAGCCCCAAGTACAAGGACTACTGGACCCAATGGAAGTCTCGTAGTAAAAGATGACATACTGAAGCACCACTCGGAGTGTGCTGACAGACGGTCTAAGCAGCTCAGATAGTCCTCCATAGGTGTAAAGTGAAGGAGGTACTGACCAAATTACATGATGTACCGCCACAAGGACACCTGAGTGTTAACAAGCCCCTAGACAGAGGTATTACTTGCTTCAGGCAAGACGCAATGCTGAAGAGTGGTGCCAGCATGTGACACATGAGCAGCCAGCCGAAACCCACAAACCAGGAGTAAGGGCCTTATGCATCAGTACAAAATCAGAGCCCCATTTGAGAGGATAACCATCGATGTCACAGAACCCTTCCCTCAGAAACTGATACCTTCTAATCGCTATGGACTATTTTACCAAGTAGCTGGAGGCCTATGGCATTCACAACCAAGAGGCATTGACAGTGGAGGAAGCACCAGTTACCAACTTCTTCTGCTGATTCAGAGTATCGTGAAACCTACACGTTGATCAGGGTCATAACTACAAGTCCCGCTTAATGCAGAAAGTTTTGACATATAGGAAGTAAGCAAGATACAACATCCCCACACCCACAATCAGACTGCATGATGAAGCATGACATCAAAATGGTTGAGGAGCACCTGCGAAAACTCGTCGCAGCAAACCAGAGGGATTGGGATGCAAGATTATCTATCTTCCACCTTTCTTACAGAGCATCCACCCATGACACTATGGGTTTGACCCTGGCTAGCCTAGTGTTTGGAAGAGAACTCTGCCTGCCCTGCAACCTGCTGTTTGGGGCAACCCCTGACAAAGAATGACTCACCATCCATCACACACCAGATCTAGTAGACCATCTATACAATATTTACAAATTTTGTCTACCAACATCTGAAGCTGGTCAGTGAGCAAATAAAAACTTGATACAACCACCTGGCCAACTCTGCAGGCTACAAGGAGGGCAACAAGTGTGACTCTATCGCCCAGTCTGCAAGACAGGAAAGTCTCTTAAGCTTCAATTCTTGTGGAAGGGCCAATACAGGGTAGTCATCTGGATAAATGACATGGTGTACAGGATTCAGCAGAATCCTAAAACAAAGCTGATGGTGGTACACATGGACTGGTTCACACCTTATCAGGGAACCACTTGCAAAGAGCGACCCTAAGGAGGGAGCAACTGGAGTAGTTATACAACAGTATGCCACCTTATCCATTAAGAAAGAGAGATGCACACTGTCACAAATGGAAGAAGAGTCGAAACCAGCAAGAAGCAGGATGGATGTACATGTCACAGGCATGTCTTGCTGAAAAGAATAAAAGGCATTATGTCTGTATGCTACTCAGGATGACTAGCCTTAAGGAGGGAGCAATATGGCATGTCTGCTGAAAGCCAGAATAGTTTAATCAGAAGAAACATCCATTACTAGGTCATAACACAATAAAAAATGATGCAACAAGGGAATACATCAAGCAACATCAACTAACCAATGGGAGTATCGCTGGTAATAGTGTTTTCTGTGCAGTCAGTGTGTATAGCAACATCACCCAACACAGCAACAGAAGAACTGCTGGAAGTGGCGTTTTCTGTTGAGTACACTTTGAGGTTATATAATGAGGACCCCAGGCTGAATCACAGACTGCTCAGAAAACCAGTTCAGAGAGCAGGTCTTTCTGTGTCTGTGACCATAAAAGACATGTGGAGGCTAAATCTGAAGCCCTGCTGGTTACCATTGATGAAGACACCACTATTAATTTCTGATCCTGTGATACCTCTAACAAAATACCATCCTTCAAATTAGGAAAGGCCTGTGGTTTTGATTGCATTCCAAATTAATATCTCTGGCATCTTCCAAGAAAACTTCTTGGCATTTAACACATTTACTCAATCACTGTCTTTGGCTTGATCACTTCCCAGCACCCTGGAAGGAAGTAGAAATTATAACTCTGCCGAAACTTGGCAAAGCCCTAATATTTCCTCAAAACTTACGTCCAGGCAGCCCCTTATCTACTACAGGCAAACTATCTGAGATTCTGATTTTAAGAACAATCCAAAAACACACTGAGAAAAGAAACTTACTAAATAAAAGTCAGTCTTGCTTTAGAGCAGATCATAGCATGACAGTTCAATGTATGAGGCTGTCAGATCATGTCACCCTAATTTTCAACAACAGTATGTCAACAGCTGCTGTGTTCTCAGATACTCAGAAAGTCTTTGACACAACATGGCCCTATGGCCTAATATATAAATTGTAAGAATTAGAATTTTCAACAAGTCTCAGCTAACTGCTTTTCTCATTGACAGAAAATTTAAAGTCCTGGTAGAAGGTGAATTTTCTATGCCAAGAATAGCAGCAGGTATGCCTCAAGGTCCCGTCCTTGCCCCAGTATTGTACAGGCTATACATAAATAATTCCCCCACGGCACCTGGAACTCATCATGCTCTGTTGGCAGACAATACCTGTATTTACGCAACAGAGAAGCATGATCGTTGTGTTCTTTGCAAACTGCAATGCGGCCTCACTGCAGTGAAGTTGTGATGTGAGCACTGGAACATAAAGATCAATGAAGGGAAAACACAGGCAATTTCCCTAAAAGACACAGAGTCCCTGAGGACATACAACTAAATAGAAGGAACATCCCCTTTGTAAATAATGTGAAGTATCTTGGTGTCACATTTGACAGGATGATGACATGGAGAAACCATAATGAAGGACTGTAGCCAAGGCCTTGTACACATACACCAGGACATATTCTCTATTCAAAAGTGGAAGTTGAGGTACAAATATTAAACTTATGCTTTATAAGGCTCTGATTAGGTCAGTTATGACTTATGCCTGCCCCACCTGGAAGTATGCAGCGGACGCTCACCTCTTGAAACCGCAGCTCCTACAGATCAGAGTACTCCATGATACTGTAAATTCTGACAAGTGCACATCAGTCTGCAAACTGCATAAGGCTTTCAAGATTGCTTATGTGTACAACAACATAACTAAATTATGCAGGACACAGGCAGAAGTAATCCTAAACCATGTAAATCCAAACATACATGGTATTGGACAAGGAGAAGCCATGCACAGAAGTATAAGAGGCTTAAAGTAGGCAGCAGTGAGGCCTATGACTGTTCAGCTGGCTAAGTGCAGTTTCAGAATAGTTAAATAAGTAAGACATAACCTACTGCACAAGCCTGCATTGACAGAAAATCCAAACATACATGGTACTGGACAAGGAGAAGCCATGCACAGAAGTATAAGAGGCTTAAACTAGGCAGCAGTGAGGCCTATGACTGTTCAGCTGGCTAAGTGCAGTGTCAGAATAGTTAAATAAGTAGGACATAACCTACTGCACAAGCCTGCATTGACAGAAAACCGCTGTATATATCTTGTATAAATGTTACTTAGTACAGTACAATCCTGAAGAGTGCACAGAGTCCGTAGTGACCTGGATGTCATGACAGCATGGATATACTCCTGCTGATACTACAGTGCAACAAACATATCCCCTATGCAGAAAGACCAACCCCTCCCTCCTTAAGCAGGAGAGACAATTTCTAAACACGTATATATACAACAGAGAACAAAAATCTAGGTCATGGATCTCGAGGAGCCTGAAGCCAGGAATGACTGCACTAGTGAAGGCCAGCAGCAATTTAACTGACCAACTGATGGCTGAGTCAGTTAGTTGTGAGACAGTCATCGGTCAGTAAGGGGGTCAACATGGAAGCTAAGAACACTACAGTGTTGGGAGCCATTACCACAAAACCAGTGAAGACACACCAGACTGAGAAGACTTGGTGCATGCTGTAGTGAACTGGAGTGTGTGAATTAGTGATAGCACTAGTGTGTCTTGTAGCTGCAATCTTAAGTGTTAATAAATCTGATTACCAATTCAAAACCCATTCTATAATCATTCAATCTCATGACAATATATTAAACCTGATCTTAAAGAAACTGGGTGTAGAATTGGAAGACTGTTAAGTTAAATTCATCCACCGCATGCAATCTCTTCTCAAAATCAAGTAACCTAGTGAAAACCAATCACAGCCAAAATTTACTCAAATCTCCTCTCACTCCTCACTTGTGGAGACAAATTGGTGGGAGGACAAAGATGTGCCAAACATAATATTACAGGTACAATGCAACAATGCAACAATAAAATGCTGTCTTCATGAAACTTAAAAGGACAAGGAACAAAGCAAATTTTGGAGGCAAGAATTTCGAACACATTTCATAAACATTACTTTATTCATTCAATACAGAAACAGACATCATACAGAAAACAGGGCCAAAAGTTAGAAAAATCAGATAAGTAGATAAGTACTGTAAAAGTACACTTGAGCAAGGAAACAAGGAATGGTTACAGGTCCGTAAACACAACAAACTTAAGAACCTTACCTGCCAGAAAACGAAATGTTCTTTGATGACAGTCTTGATGGCTCTATTTGACCATATATCACGATTTAAAATCTGACATGAGAACTCCAGTACATTCTGCACATTGACCAAGAGCCACTTTTGGTGAGCTACTCCAGCATCTCGAGCCTGAAAGTATTGGACAGGTCTTTGGCATCTACTGACATAATCTTAGGACACAGTGCATAAAATGAGAGCCTAGCATGTAGATATGCAAGCAACTACATGCTTCATCTCTAAAATTACTGAGCAAATTTGGATGCCCTCCGATATTGGGGGTCTATACTAAATGTTGTTACGTCTATCTGAAACATTAGTAATATCACATGTAGGTAACAAAAATAAAAACATATTAATACACTCCTCTATTCCTAATCAGCTTCATGAATAACAGACTTGTACATTGCTATATGCTGTGAATTTCTGCCACAGGAGTTCCGTGTGCAATGGGTAAGATAGATGAAATGTACAAATGGATTTGTATCTCAAAAAATGATCACAAAAACCATAGAGGATTCAAATGGATGAGGAAAACATTTAGTAAATATGTACATTCTTATCAGTATATATTTTGAGTCTTGTTTGACAAGTGTGCACATGCCTCCTGTTATTAACAAAATTAATAAACTGTAAAGTATTGTCACGTATTGGGTGTATAACGCGACAAATAGCTTCACACCTTAGTGGATATAGCGAATTTTATTTCACGTTCACACTTACAATCACCCAAATTACAATCTGACAATTACTGCTATCTGCAGTATCACAAATACTACATTGCAAATGCTGGTTGACTGCCTGGCTGACTCGTAACTCGTAACTCAAGAACTTGAGAACTAACTCGTTCACTTGAGAGCTGTAACTGACTTGTATGCTTGCTCGGAGCTAACTGTGAATAGCCTTCACTGCTNGGGGGGGGGGGGGGGGAGTGGCATCATGCACAGCGTGACACGCCACAGTATGTATGCAAACAGACGTCAATTGTTAAAATCTATGAACTTATATATTCTTTGCTTGTCATCTTCCATTCTAGGAACACAATGAGACACATTACATCAAAGGCAAAACAGTCATGCATAACCTTTCACACAGAGTAGTCAACATGAATTGTGTTTAAAGAATCACTGTGACCATACATGGAAGGAGGAAGAGGGTTACAGCTTTCAACCAAGCCAAAATGTTGGGCAACATAAAGAAAGTGTTAATTCTGTACAATTTGTCTGATCTGAGATTCGCTTAATGGTAACTATGAAGAATACTATGCCTGGGATGTAACACCATGTAACCTGGTAGAAGCCCAGTGATGGTTCAAAGAGTGGTATAGCCTACACCTTCAGGGTCAGAGAGTAAATCAAGCAAAGCAAGCAACAAGCAGACTAAGATGAATCTAGAATAAGTGGTGAAGATATAGGCTGAGGTACAAGCCCTGAGCAAGCCAAAACTGAATACTGTCTGTCCTTGCACCCATGTCATTCATTTCCAGCTTCTCTTCATTCCCCTCCATGCTCTGCCTTCAACTAAGTGTCTTGTCTTCCCTCCCATCCATATCTGGGCTCTCTATCCTCAAATGTCTAATCCTACTATCACCCTCTGCCCTCTACATGCAACCCATTACTCTCTGAACCCACCCGTACCTCCCACTGGTCACTCATGCCATTATGTCCCTCATATCTCTGCTGGAATAAGAATGACCAATTTAAGAGCACTGATTCTATCACTCTTCTTTCTCCTACCAATTCACCCAGCATTCCTATCCCTATCTATATTTATACAACTTCTTCAGTTATTGTTCTTAATCTTCCTGCTTTCTCAGCTTACTATTTAGCCCTGAAGATAGAGACAGCATACTCCTCTGAAATGTTGGTAAACTCCTACTTACCTACACAGCCTCACATCAAGAAGACAGTACTTTTTTTTTTATATTTATTTATTTATTTGAAAGAAAGTTTTAGCAATGAAGGCATCTACATACAGCACACTCCATTCATAAATCCAAGACATAAAGAAAGCACTTAAATTATGTTTCAATACCCTCACCTATGTCCAAAATGAATTCCCTGACATGCTACAGTCTCAAAATAAGAAATAATCAGTATTATGAGAACCAAGTCTGAATATAATGTATCACATTCTTTCTTCATACTTTCTAATCTTTGAGCTGGGATAGCTTGGTCAGTATAGTGACTATGCTAGAGACTGGACACTCTGGCTTTGAATATAAGCAGGAGCAACAGCTCTTCTTTTACAACCGTGCCAAGCCCTCCTCAGTAGCTCACCCAGCCTCTGATTCAATGAGAACTAACAGCTTCATCCGTTGGGGTAATGCAGCACTATGAGGTATTCCAGAAAATGATTTTCAAGACAGTTTCTGGCAGTGGGACCACTGCCTCACGAGCTCCATAGCTTCACAAGGAGAGAATTTCAAAGGCAACAGGAGGCACTAGTGCACAGGTAAGTAAATTTTGCTTTCAGAGGGCCATTCAAGGAATTAAATTGTCACAGTTTGTATGTACATAAATCCAAATTTGCAACACTTGTTTATTAAAATATTTTCCTTCCTACATTGTAATGGAATGCTGATTAAGAAGCTTACCTTTGATGGCTAATATGAAAATGCAGATGTATACACAGACTGACTTTGCACCAAGATCATAAATATGGTAGTTAATGATTTATTCTTGACCAAACACAAATGACAATGCAAAAGCAATCCCGCAGCTGGCCAATGACAAGCATATCAGGCTCTAAGACAGGTTATTTAAATGGCTTGTGGATACAGTCTTCTTCGTTGGATAGAATGAGGTCTCCTATCACTCACTTCCAATTACTTTTGAAATAAAGTCACATGGAAATTTTTTGTGGACCTCTTTTGCAACCACAGGTTGGAATTATGTAGCCACTCAATAGAGTAAGATCCAATAGCTAAGAAATAACTCTCCCTCTGAAGAGTGCAATAACTTCATACTTAAATGTTCATGTGGAATGTACAACTTAGAATAGGCATTATTCAGCATGTCAAGGAGATATCTAGTCTGGATGCTTCATGTTGTTGCAAAAATGTGAAAACCTCAATATATGGAAAAAGATAAGTCATTAAACTCCAGTAAAATGGGGTACAGAATTGTTTAACAGTAGACCAATAATTTTCACTCTGTGTCAAATGACATTTCACAGTAGCATTATTATAGCCAAAACAGGCCTATGCCTCCTGTACAGTCAGCAAGTAATGAGCATCAACTGCCACAGTCAAATGTGTCTAAATAATAGTTGTACTCATAACATTTATTAGCCTGTCAGCAATAGATGGATCATTTCCATGAAGAAGTAGGAAAAGACAGGAAGTGGTGTAGAATTCTTGTTAACATGGAGTACCTTTTCTATCTACAATTCACAGAGACCCCAATGAAAGGATCAACACCACCAGATTCCCAATAGTGCTGTTACTTAACTAAATTTCATCTCAGCTTCTGCTCATTCTACAGTATCCATCACTGCTAGTGTCTTCGTCAGGCTCATTTTCACCGTCAGATGACATTGCTTCATCAATCACTCTCCAGACTGTTCAATACAAATTTCAGTACTAAAACTCTGGGCATTATAATAACTATAAATAAATTATACTCTCTTAGGAATAACAATATATATCACTCATGCTTGCTAGCATAACAAGACCTCAGTTCAGTCTCTAACCCCACTCCCCTGCCTTGAAAAATACGGGAAAACTCCCATTTCTTTCATCACTTTTCCACTACCTTCATAAGACTAGCAGGTCAGTAGTACCCACTTCTTAGACCTCTGATGGTGCGCTATTCCTTCCAGCTTCACTCCCCACAGTTGACAATGCCTTGAATGAGTGCAGAATAACCACATGGACAAGGGATATGTGGAACCTGATCCTTTAAGGCTAAGTAAGAATGCAGATGATAGGATTGTCTCTGTAAAAAACTCACAGCTGGGAAGCGTAACAGAAGCCTGTATGCAACAGTCAAGTAAATTACAATGTCATAATTCCTACAGATTGTTTTGAAATGAGGGATAATTTAGCCACAAATATTGTGATGCGTGGCCAGTTGAATTGTAAGCACACAGTCATGATAATGTGATGCACAAAAGATACCTGGAAACCACTGTCAGTAATCTCTTACACTGTTAAGATTTCTAAGGCTGTCTTGTCACATACATATGGTAATGACTGGGTATATGACCTGAGTCCCTCATTTTGAACCAAAATCCATGAGTCAATCAACTGAATGGCACCACACAGTTTTCCAAAACCAAAGAAATTCAACAAGGCACTATTGGCAGGAAGTCACAGCCACAGTTTCTCCAGGATAAAGGTCTCATTTGTGTGAGCTGTTTACTTCCAGGGACTGCAGCAAACTCAGATCGCTATCTGGACACATCAAGAAAAGTGAAACATGAGAGCTGACAAATTCATCACACTAGGTAAGTTCCTGAAATGTTGCTCCTCCATGACAATGTCACGTCCCCAACTGAAGCTATGGCAAAATCTGAAAGGACTGTGATACGTCAGTCTCCATTTAGAACAGACTCATTCCATCAGACTACCATCTCTTTAGTCCTCTGAAGTTCAACTGTGAGGACATCATTTCAAAGACACCTCCACACCAAAGAATGCTGTATAACAGTGATTAAATGTCAAGAAAAGGGACTTATAGAGCCAGTACACAAGCTCTCATTCAATCTTGGATGAAAATTGTTTTCAGCAATTCTGTTACTAAACATATTGTAATTTTTACATACATATCTTTCAGCTTGTACAAAATAAAAGTATGAGGAACTGCTTTCCAGCCAGCTCTCATGCCCTGTAACAGTTTTTCTTAATTATATTAAAGACCTGAATGATCTCACTTAATGTATTACACAATATATTGTGACGTGTTGTGAAATGGAGGACACCCCCTCCTTCCCCAGCGGTGACACGGGCAGCTCTGGCCATGGTGACGTAGCAAGCGAGTCATGCCCCCCCCCGCACTATGTGGCACCGAAAACAATGTGGGTTTTCGTCATGAATATCACAGATGAGCTTATCCTGGGACTGGACATACTGCACGCCTATGATGTGTCTGTGGACATAGGGCGCCAAACTCTGCGTCTGGTGGAAGAAGAAGTATCGTTATGGAGTCCTGGGGCAGGACCCCATCCTTCCAGCTTAGTAGTGGCAAAGGACCAAGTGATTCCGGCACAGAGGGAGGGAACAGTGATGGCTAGAATGGAGAAGCAAGAAATGCAATGAATAATCGAAATGCTGGCAATAATTAAGGCGAAAATGGACGCCAACAAGGAAAGAATGGACGCCGACTCGAAAGCCTGGCAAGCAGAGACTGCCGCGGAGACGACAGCAAACCAAGCAAGGACGGCACAACAAGAAGAGGTCCCCATAGTGATACCAGTCGGAGTGACGATGGCCTGCCGAGAAACAGAGGCACATCCAGAAGATGAAAAGCTGGCCTCAGTGGAAAGGAAACCTGAGGCAGCAGAACGAGAGGTACCCATAGAAGACGCCGAAGTAATGCCGGTCGGAGAACCAAAGAAGAAAAGGCATAGGGACCGAAACAAGAGAAAAATGAAAAATTCGACACGGGAAAATTGCGGACCCCAGAAGAAGTTGGCCGCAGCTCCACAGAGGGACGAGCTGCCATGTAGAAGTGGCACGGCAGACGAAAACCAGCAGGACGGTGTCCTGCCATGCAACAGTGGCATGGCGTCGGAGGAACATCTTCAGGAAATGTTGGACCCAAGGTGATTATGAATCCCAGATGAAGTTGGCTGCCACCTGCAGGAAGATATCCCGTCGCATGACAGTGGCACGACATTGGAGAAATGCCTTCAAGAAGGAAACTCCCCAGGGAACCTTCGGATGCCGGAGAAAGGACTTGGCGCCATGGTCTCATGCCAGGAAGTGGCGGGAAGACCAGGAGGAATGATGACGTCAGCAAGTGCAAACAACGCATCAAGTCGACATATAGAATTTCTCAGGGAAGACATACACAAGGATTGGACATGGTGGAGGGGTCGACCCCCTCCGAAATCGAAAAATGGAATAGTACACAGGAGGAACCGGTAACGTAGAAGTACCGGCGCCCCAAGGAAGAGTGAATGTGCGACGAATGAATGTCATACAACCGGATCTTCTGGCAAGTTGAAAGGAATCCACTCGAGACGAGCTGGTCTTAAGAAGGGAGCGGTTGTAATGGCCAGATAATAGTCGCTGAGAGGAGTAGCCGAAACAGGAGACGCAGAAAGCACAGCCTCCAAAGAAAAGGAACAGGGTGCACCATTAGGCTATTCGGGACGAACAGCCTTAAGGAGGGAGCAGTGTGACATGTTGCGCAATGGAGGACACCCCCTCCTTCCCCAGCGGTGACACGGGCAGCTCTGGCCACGGTGACGTAGCAAGTGAGTCAGCGCTTACTGTGACGTGGCACAGCTTCCCGCTGTGACACAGCACCACTTCCTACTGTGACATGGCATGCAACGCTGCTGTTGACATGGGCAACAGGCAACAGCGAATGGAATAAAAGCTGGCTGAGCAGCAAGCGAGAGTTAGTGTGTGAGCCGGAGCAACACAGTTGGAGTATAGCAGCAGTCGCGGAAAGAAGAATCGGATGTGTGTGCTAATCAGCGATAGTTTGTGGTAACTGAGAAGTAACTGGGAGTGTGTAACACAGTGACACTTATATAGCTCCCGTACTGTGAATATGTGTAGACTACTGAAGATAGAGTGAACAGATTATTGCGAATAGGGTTATAAAGTGTGAAACCCCGCAACAGTGTGAAGAGATTATTGCGAATAGGGTTATAAAGTGTAAAACGCCGCAACAGTGTTATAATCAATTGTAGTTACGACTTGTAGGTTGTTAAATAAACCAATTAACAATCCGAACGGCGTCTTCAGCAACGAAACATGTTACAATATGTTCACTTTTAAGGGTTGATTTTTTGGAGGATAAAGTTAAAGTTAAAGTTAAAGTTAAAGTTAAAGATAAAGTAAACAAGTACATTATGAAACAGCAAATAAACTTCAAAAAAAAAGAGAGGGTAGTTTAAAATTCATATTTGTGTACCAGCTAAAGAACACAGCTTACATTCTGGAATGTTCCATGAAACATAAGATCCAATGGAGGACGAAACAAGTCTTCCAAACTCCTCTTTCTTGGGGATATGTTAGATCCTGTCATCATTTCTTCTTGCCGACCTACAAAAATAACAGAATTGTTGAAATGATCTTCCATTTTATTCACACCAACTGAGCTCCTAAAGCAATAGTAATTTAAAAATACTATCTCACTTCATTCATGGCCTTCACCAGAATACACACACACACATCACACAGACAGACATACAGCCATCTACACAAGATATTCTAAGCAGCCAGAAGTAGATAAATAGGGTTGTCATTATGTCCATGTAAGTACACAACAATACTTTTAATTAGTTTTAACCAATACCAACTAATTAATTTTATCAAACTGATTCCAATATTCAAATGGTATAAAACTGAAGTGCCAGCTTATACATGGAACACTGATCAGCATTCTCAGTAATAAATTCAAATCAGGAAGATACACCGTATATGTCTGTATTACCATCTACATATAAGCAGAGAAGCTCATTTAGCCATAACATACAGGAATCTAGAGAACAGGCTACAATTTGAAGAACATCCTGAAAAATTTTGATATTAGAAAAAGGAAGATTACCTTTCACACAAGCCAACTTTTCGACCTATGGCAGGGATAGAATAAAAACAGATAAATGGCAGCAAAAGAAAGAATAGAGGGAAACACAGAGAAACATTACTACAAAATAAAATGGCACCTAGTGAAGAGATTTAAAATTACAGTGGTGTATGAATTAAGCTGGTACCAGCAAAATACAAGATGGGGCAGGAAAATGGGCAATTGTAAAACTATTACATCATGGGAAACATGCATGGAAGATGAGAGAGATGCCTGTGCAGAGACAGAGGTCATCTTAAGGATATCATCTTCAAGAACTAAACGGCATGCTATGTACTTTAAGATGGCATACTGTAATTTGGCAAATATATATCTTTTATTTAATTACTGAGTTTTTAAAATAGCCCATTTCCCTGCTACAACCTGTATGAAGTAACAGAGCAAAAGAAACAATAACAATACAAATTTCATACAAATTACAATTTA